GGGGGGGGGGGGGGGGGGGGGGGATGAGAAAGACACCCCCAGAATTAACTAAATGACAGAACTAAATAGAAACGAAGGAGCTGGATCTAAACAGCTGAAAACCACATATTCTCTTTCTTTCTCTCTCTCCACCATAACAGTTACTTACACAAAGAACACATATACCCCCATCTTATAGTAGTTTTGAAAGTTACACAAGACCCACAAATTATTAAATGGCTGGATTAAATGTGAGCACCTGGATATCTGGATTGGCATTATATCTCTTCTTGACTTTTTTACATCACAAGAAGACAGCTCAACAAGCTGTCAAGGAAACAGAGAAATATGTCCTGCAAAAGGCATAAAACCCAAGTTCCTTGAATTTGAAAGGACATGTTGCTCACTTGGCCAGTGGACATATAATCCCTCTTTATGTCTCTTTATTTATCATTAATGAAAAAGGAGCTTTGAATGTAATGCAGTTGAGCACAGTAGTCTAAGTGCTACCGAGAATATATGATCTTCTTCTTAAATGGGTTGGAAAAGGACCGATTCACTGCCCTGGTTTATCTTCTACAAATTTATTTCTCTGTCTTGTCAAGTAAAACAAAACGCTCAAATAAATGAAGAACAGCTTTTTATTGCTGTGAAAAAAATTTGCAGAGATGCCAACTGGAGTTGAATTTCTAGATCAGGATAAGTGAAGGGGTTCTGAACTTCTGTCTCTTTCCCCATTGCTGTAATATGTCCTTTTATTGGTTGTTTATGTCTTTGGGATTACTGGCAGAAGAACATCCACGGAAAAAACAATCTGTAGTTTTAAGTTGAAAGATCAAAATCTTGTTTCAAAAAAGTTGAAACAGTTAAAACTTGATTGAATGCTCAATTCTTTATGTTTCGAGGTGTTTTAGTATGTTTTGATCAATATTTCAAAAATAAATTATCAAGTTTTTCCGTCATTTTTATTATGTTATCAAACTATTTCTGTTTTTCGAAGCAAAATATTTATCCTTGGTCTTAACGCAAATGACAAATCCTGCTTCACTTTTCAAGCTTGTTAAAAGCCATGCCTTAATGCTATGCTTGGTGAAATAGGGAGAACATTCAATTATGATTAGATATGGGGTCCTTTTTCACAGTCAGTACTCATAGTTAAAAAGAAAATTGTGATGGGCAATTTTACCACTAGATAACGCACCTGATAATTGACAAGATTGTTTTCAATGTTTGAAAAGACCTTTTCAACTGCTTTAAAAGGGTAAGAACAGAAGGGTCTAAGGAGTTCAAAACCAGGTGGATTGGGGCATACCATGTTCCTTGTCCCTCTTAGAGCATGATTTGAGTTGTTTCCCACTGTTAATTATTTGCCATGACTTATTATAGGGTAATGCTAGACAAGTGAGGCCCATGCATTATTCTTGTTGATCGTCACTTTTGAGGATCATATCTTTGAGTTGCTCTTTTCTTGGGCTCCATGTGCTGGACCAAGATGTGCTTTTGCAAAGTATTGTTGGCAATGGGACAAACTTTCAGAAGGGGAAAGGTCTTATTCACCGATTTTATTTTTTTAGTCTAGGGAAGATTACTCTACTTTTTATAGGACTGCGTTAAAAATGTGTCCCGCCTAACTCGCAAGGGTCTCTCAGCGGTGCGGAGTTAATCCCAAGATGGATTATATACATGGACTTTTTTGGTTCAACACTCTCGTTGTTGTCTCCTAAATTTATCTAATGCACGTAATTTATGAGAAAGTCTTGCCATAAAAGACATGTGCGGTGTGAATTGGGGAAAGTAAGATTTTATTGAACCTATTGTCTTCTAAACTTATCTAATGCACGTAATTTATGAGAAAGTCTCGCCATAAAAAACACGTGTGGCGTAAATTGGGGAAAGTAAGATTTTAGTGAACAGCATGGTCAAACAAACAAATAAATAATTCTGGTCCTTCATTCACTTTATGATTTTGATACTATAGGGTGTTTTTTCCATGTTGTCTATACAGTTACTGTGGATGCAGAAAATTGGTTCCTTGATCTGTATTCGTCTGATGTGTGGGTGGTTGTACTTATACTGTGTTCAAAAAAAAAAAAAATCTGTATTCGTCTGACTTGATCACAATAGCAAGCAACGTAAAAAACGAAGAGGTTAATAACACTAATCATATGTGATACTTAAGGAAGGTTTAATACTCTAGATAGGCAAGTTTGATATATACCGAGAACATCTCTAATCCTTATTTTTTTTTAAATTTAAATTTAAACTTGGGTAAAAAAATCTTAAAAACTTTCTCAATTGTCATATTTTTTTAATTGAATCATATTTTTTTAATCTCAAAAATCTTAAAAACTCGTATCAAATCAAGGAAGATTCTTTTTTTTTTAGTCAAATTAAGAGAGATTCAAATTCATACTCAAATCTTTAATAATGAGATTTTACCATCCTTTAAAGATTCAATTGTCATATTTTACCCTATTTTAAAATTGAGTTTGTTCTCATTTAAATTTGGGTTACTTTTCCTTTACATTTGAGTTTCTCTATTAAAGAGTTTTATACCAAATCAAACTTTTTACCTTTTTTTTTTTTACTCAAATTTGGGTAAGGATATGAGTCGCTATTGAAAATAGTCTAATCATATAAAACTAACACTTTTCTACCGAGTTTATGTACCTAATATGCAGGAGTAGAGGTGTCCATGAGCCGGGCTGAGCTATGCCAGCGATTTTTTTTTGGGCCGGACTTGGGTAGTATAGGTCCAAGCTCTTACCCAAAAGAGTTATCGGACAGGCCTGACCGGACTTCGAGTAGGGGTAAGTTACCCGCAGCCCAACCCGCGAGCCTATTGCACGGGCCTGTGAATGGACTTTTTTATATACAATTTTATTTAAAGATAATGAATATTTTTGTAACTTAATATTTGTGTAAATTATATTTTTGAATCAAAAGTAGAGTCAAAATGAATAAAAGTAAAATAATGAATAATTTTATTTTTTATTAGTAGATGAACTACATTCAATAGAATAAATATATCACAACTAGTTTGACACTTATTCACTTATTTATCATTTGCATTATTTCACCCTTTAAACCTTGTATGCATAATACATGGAAAAGAAAATGATGAGCCCAAATTTGACTGGGTCAAGCCCAATTTAAATAAACCAAGAAAGCCCAATGGAGAGCCCAATTGGAGCTAGGTCGACCCGTCACGAGGGAATCCAAAAAAGCATCAAGAGGCCAACGTCCAAGAGGCCAGAGCCCAATAGGCCAAAGCCAAAGGAGCCAACGCCCAAAGCACTTGGGGTGCTGCCCAAGGCTGCCCCTGGTCCTCCCACGTCTTCTTCACTCCAATACAATTCTAGTCCACTCCAGCTCAACGTCCAGGCTCAGGATCAAGTCCAATCCAACTCAGGGTCTTCTTCCGATTGAATAGGAACACGAATGAGAGAATGTCGGGATGGAGATCTAAACTTACCATGATTGCTCACTTACCAAAATGGTGGAAAGACCTCTCACTCACGTCACCGTCTCACCGCCTTACCCTAACTATATAATGTACGCCTACTCAACATTGAGGGCACGCTTTTGAAGCCTCTATATATCCTTTTGACACACAACTCTCTCTCTTTCTCTTTTAAAAAGCATTGTAACTTTCTTAGAGAATACTCTCTTGGCAACTTTGATTAATTAATAAAATACCTCCGGCTACCGTAGCCGTTCCCGAGAGTGGAGTAGGTCACCCGGACCGAATCACTATAAATCTCTGTGTTGTTTCTTTATTTATTATTTTATCATTAATTACTTGTTTATTGCTTATTAATCACATTTGTTATATATTATTGACTGTTGATTTTGCACAATACCGATTTGTACATCATCAGTTTAGCGCCGTCTGTGGGAACGACTAATTTTTTTTACTCTTCCAATCCATGACAATCACTACCAGATCGATGAGTCAATAACCGGGAGACAACAACCCGGCTCATCGGGAGGAGGCTCTGCCTCCCCTCGCACCATCGGAACCACCTGCTTTGGCGACCCTCGTCGTCGGACAACAGCTCCTCCAAACCATGCAGCTGCTAGTGAATCAAAACTAACATATCATCCAGCTTATGCTCGCCCAAGGGGGCGTCGCCCCTTACCGCGTGGGAGGAGTCTAACTCCCTCCAACGGGAGAAGAGCAGCTGCCTATCCCTTCTGGGTGCCAAAAAGCCCCTACCATGGGGCCCTCACCAGAATACTCCAGGACTTCGCCATGGCGCCAGTCCCTCCTCAGCGTGCAGGGAGTTCACGAGTTCCCTCTTCTCATGAACCTGTGCAGGAGAACGAAGACAGAGAAAGCCAATATGTAGACCACGAAAGCCAATACCATCACCCAGCCGAAGATGTCCCCAATCACTAGGACGAGAAGATTAGGGAGGTACAAAACCAACTCGGTGATGCCTTCAACGCCATCAAGGCATAAGCGCCTACAATCGTGGACTACCTGGTAAGACATACTGATACGCCTTTTGTTACTGATATTGTCAATTATCTTTTTCCCTCGAAGTTCAAGATGCCCACTATCGAGATCTTTGACGGCACCAGAGACCCCCTCGACCATCTTAACACATATAAGTCCCTCATGCAACTCCACAACGTGCTTGAG